TCTTATCCTTTATTTTTTAATGTCCTATTTGATGTCCTGCCTTGTGATTCATTTATGGTCTTAGTATGAGCAGTATAAGAAATTCAGAAAACATAATATATAGCATCAGCAGTAGAAGAACAATATCACACTTGATTTTACCACACAGCATAATTGCTTCAATAATTTAATCTATAATTTTCATAATCTCGAACGATATTTTAGTTGCTTTTTAGCAATTCTAATTTCTAAAGTACATTTTTCTTACTAATACTCAAATAAACATTATTGCTTATAGTCAAATCTTAGGCGAATTAATTTGTAAAATCTAGTTCATATGAGTACTCTTCAATCTAAGATCAATGCTAAATATTCCATATTCAATGCCAAACAAATGAATTTTTGACACATGAAACAAAATTCTAAATCACTTTTTTTAATAAGTAGAAATATTTTTGTATTGTTATTCTAATATTATCTACGCTCATTTGAGCTAAATTCAAATTTCATGTGAATTGACATTTCTAGCAGATGACGGTTCAAATGTTTTCAATGTCAAATAATGATATGTGGTTTTTGTATAATTTTTACCATTTATTTCTACTATATTACTATAGCTTTATGGTACATTAAATCTTAAACATTTTCTTTGACAAACTCTAGAAAGAATTATCAAAATTCGAATAACCGTTTAGGAGAAGTATCAAATCATACATTCGTACAGAAAAATTTTATACATATGAAATATCATAAACCTCGGATATAAGAATAGTATTGATTTCTATATTTAGCGCCAGATAAACGTCATCTTCTTCTGGAGTTGGCTCATCATGAATGATCTTTCGCCAAAATGTAATGTACTGAAAGTTCTTCATTTTACGTATAGAATTTTCCATCCAAATTTAATTCACATAAACTATAAAAATTGAAAATAAATGAGTGATTCTAACTATTGCAGATTGTTACTTGTATCCATATCTCTTATTCTATGCGATCAGACATGCATGCTTCACTTGCATTTAATTGCACGATATAAGTAGTTTTTTATCTGCTTTGAGAATATTTTGTAAAAACTGAATAAATAATTAAACATATACAATATATTTGTATGTATGCCTTTCGTAACCGTTCTATGTATTATATATAAACTAAATAATATTTTCATGAGAAGCAATGGCCGAGAACTGTTGTGTGCCATTGCACTGCGTAATTACGCAATCGGTGCATTCGAATTACACGACTCTAATGTAAGAATATCATGTCGATAAGATTTGAATTTTCTCTTATTACAGATAACACAACTAGCTCAATTCGTGCACGAATCAATTTATTTCTGTCGGTCGATGGCGATGTAGGCGAATCAGATTGAATATTTATTCTGCATTTATTTATTAGCTAGGGTTTCCCGTGGTATAGTGGATAGAACTATGTCTTCCAATCAGGAGATTGCAAGTCAGATACCCGCTTATGTTAGCCTGATTTCAAGCAGCAGTGACATCGGCTTTGACTTGAAAACATAGATGGCAATATGTTCCAAGTGAGAATATCCTTTACCCGGCATTATTCCATCATCAAACATAATCAATATAGTCCAATCCTTTGGTGCAAAAAAGGCTGTTTCCGGTATAGTACTCACAAATATAACTATCCAAACAACAAATATATACGTACAGTATAACAAACTTATATTTTTTCTTAAATATTCAGTATTTATTATACTATTACTATTATTGAAAGTTTTCTCTAGTTCAATTTCATATATAGCTCTTTTGCCATTAAAGTGTTCAATCATCAAAAAAATAATTATTTAAATATTGAAAATTTTTATTTATTAGAAAAAATGTGGACAAGTTCATAGAACAGTCAAATATAGGGAGATCCGATATGGCGGTCAAGATATTCTTAAAAAAACTGTTTTTGACGCCATTTTTCCAATATGGCGGCGCCTTGCCGTAAAAATTCGAGGTAGCCAAGTTAAAATTCGTAATGAGCACTTCAAAATCTTTCAGATTACTAATTTTCCAAATTTCCGGAGTACTATACCGGCAAAACTATCAAATAACAAGATATTCTAATAGCAAAATTCATCAAATAGAGATTGACTGTGTTGCCGTCTAAAAACATCGTAACCTAGTGATTGTCCTGACTAATTGAGATATATATGTATTTACTTCAAAATTCTATAAAGCAACTCAAATGGTCACCCCCTCTAATTTTGATGTTGCAGCAATGCCCCCGAAATTATATTTTTACTAGAAAACATGTTTAGGTCTATATTTTCGAGTGAAAACAAATATTACTACTGCTTGATATCATGTAGTCCAAAGTAGGTATGGAACATGGAACCTTGTGCATAATCCTAAATATATTACAATGGGGTAAAAAGATATTTTCAAACTCTATTTTGGATAACTATTAAAATATACTTTTATTAATATACTAGCTGTAACCGATCACGCATTGTAGTGTTAAAAAAAATTGAAAATTTGAAAAAAAAAATGCTGTTTTGTTAGATGTAATTTGGGGGTGGCGTATATTTTCTAGCTTCGCATTTAAAAATAAAATGAGGAAATTGTTCCAATAAGTTCAAGAATAAGTGTTAGAGTTGAACAACCCTTGACGAAATTAATTCCTTTATGCGAATTTGAGCTTTTTCATATGCTCGAAAATCCTCAATCGAATTTCAGTCAAAAACGTTCACTGACAGAAGTTTAGGTGAAAATGATGTAATTACTACAATAATTCTTACGAAATGGGGTTTTGCGGTAAGAAGGTGAAAATGTAAAGTTATATGGCATTATAAAAAAATAAAAAATGAAAATTGACCCAGAAAATAAAAAAAATCTTTAGGATGGCCAACTCTCATGAATTTTTTAAATCGGTTCATCTGTTTTTGAGAAAACGTCGACAAAAAGTCAAAAATCGGCTCACCTACAAACCCACATACCCATACTTTTTACAAATTCGATTTCGATTCAGAATGACTCGAAACGTCGAAAAAACACATAATTACCAAATCAAATTTTCTGGCGAAAACATAAACTTCTTTGGCAAGATAAAAAGAATAATTTTAGTAAAAAAATATTTGTTCAGATCACCTTCCGAGCAAAAGACCTTCTCTTGCCTGTTTGTCATTGAAATTCATCGATGATCGCATTACGGAACCAAACAAGTCGAAATATTTTGATTCTACTTTTACATAATGCAAGATATTGCATATGAATAATAAATGCTTTTTTGCATAACTGGATCACTTTTGCAAGATGTTAAAATTAATCATAACGAATTTAATAGAAAGATGAATTATTACAGTTGTTCATTTCATTAAATAATTCTATGTTACGTAAACGATTTATTTGTTTTGTTTGAAACAACCAGGAATGAATTATTCATAATAATTTATAAATGAATAGTAAAAATATAATTGCTTAAAAATACTAATTTCGTTTTTCAGATGATGAAAAATGTACACACTTTAGGTATCCTTCCAATCGATGAAATATAGAATTAATTTATTTGAACTCGAATATAACACACATTTCTCTATTATAACATACACAAAAATATTTTTTTGTTTCTTTGCAGCAAAAATAGCTGAAAAATTCATAAATGATTAGTAAAAATAAAAATTGTGGTAAAAGGCATATAATGAAAAGTTTGGCATTTGTTTAATTAATAAAACACGAAATTGAGTTATTTGAAAATAATTTTAATGTGGCATACGTTTAGAATTTTAAATTGATTCATCTTCAGTGCGATAGCATAAAAATGATTTTATTGATAGGCGGAACAATTCATGAACAATTAGAAAAAATGAAAAAAAAAATACTAATAATACTAAATAAAAAAAAACTAATACTGGTATCCGAATTGTAAAAGATACAATATAATGAAAATTTTCATACAACTTTTCAATTAATGAAATTCAAAACTAGTGGGGTGTATGGCATCGTATGGCAATCTTGAGGCAAATTGCTGGAACTTTCCGTACCGCAGAAATGTTCGAGGAATACTGAATGTTTTCAAATAGATTATTACAAATATTCTAACATTGAATATTTATAAGAACTATATAAACTGAATTGCAAAGTTAAAATTATTTATTTAAAGTAGGTATATTAGAACTTTAGTCGGAATTAAAAATAAAATCTGAATTATTTTCGATGTACAAACAAAATGATACCTTTTTTTTCAAAATCAATTATTTTGCTAAAACAAGCTGAAAGTTCTTTGAATCATTTAAATTGGACGCTTAGTTCTCTCAAAAACTGGTATTTTTTGCACATTTATCTCTATATCTTCGAAATGGCTAGGCCTGCCATTGTCAAAAACTAATAATCACTTCTCCCAATCATTACTAATTCAATGTTTTATAGATTATTCAAATCGGATGCTCCGTTTACTCAAAAACTCGATTTCTATTTTCTGCACTCTTTGCTCCGTATCTCCGTAACGACTGGACGTGCCTTTGCCAAAAACTAATCATCACATCTCCCTATGAATAGGAATCGAATGTTTTTTGAACCATTCGAATCGGTTGATCCGTGCGCCCGAAAACGTGGACGAAAAATTGTATCCATACATACATACACACACAAATCCATTTTTTCTGAGGTATGCCAAAATGTTCAGAATCCGCTGAAATGTGAACAGATGCAAAACAATTGTTCACTTACCCTACGCTAAGTTAATAAATATAATACATATAAAAGCAAGAGTTCAAATTTTTTGCTGTGGGTTGATACGAACATCCTAAAGTCTAAATATTTCAGAACATGACATGTTTTTCTCGAAAATCGCAATTTAAACAGTCAATGATTATAAACATGACGAATATACTCGTCAATACACAAAATTCGTCAAGAAATTATAACTGGTTGATAATTGGGTGAACTAAAAATATAAAGAAAAAACTATAAATACATATAATATAATTATATATAAGTATATGTGTTTGTATGTATTTCTTTGTTTGTGTTCAATTGTATATATGGTATTTATGTAAACAATGCTTTGTATAGATCAGGGACATAAACATTACGAAAACCGGAGGAAAACTATTTGGAGACTTTCGAAATCTTGGTACCAGAGAAGGATGGAACAAGTGACACAGACACACAGGTATGTCACGAAGAGACGGTCACTTTTACAGTTTTACATAGGAAATTTATTGCATTCATTTACTCTATCATCAGTCTATTTAACAATTCAACTATTGTAATAAATAGTAAATTTCATTTGCATTGAAATAATTTGACCTGATTATGACTTCAAAAGAAATAATCAAGGTCATTGATATTTTTTTCTATTTTTGTTAGAAATGACCCAAACTGTTCAATAACAACATTAATGGAATTGTTAAAGTATATTAAGAGTAACGAAATAATATCACACCTCCGCAGGAAAAGTGACAATTCTAAATTTTCAGAACTCACTTTTTGTGCTTAAGGCATATATAGATTATATTCCAATTATATTGATCTTGAACCCTGAAAATTGTTATGAGTTAAATTTTCATAACGAAGTTTTAAATAAAATAAAAATATAAAAAAATGGCACTAGTCAAAATAGAGGCGAGTTTTGGGAGTTCCTTATGCCTTAAAGTACAAATTGCTCTGAATCCAAAAAATGTTGCAAGAAAACTATATCGCATGCGTTTAAATAATTAGTTTTGATCTAAGATAGCAATTTGTATTCAGTTCAAAATTTTAATTTTTTTATTTTTATTCTACTGCACAATTCAACTTAATTTTTGACTTGTCACTTTTCTTGCGGGTGTGCTCTTAGAAAGACATGTAAAAACATTCTTGAAAATGAAATATACAAAAATTATAAAATTTGAAACGAATATGGAAATAAAATATTTATGACCATTATAACTAAATATTTAAAAAAAATACATTTAATTAAAATTTTGGACATAAGACGTGCTGTGCTAAATAATTAGAAATCACGTAAATTCTTCCTTTAGGTAATGAAAATATTTTTTTGTTCTGTTTTGTTAGTTCATATAACGTAACATAATCTTGGTTTATTATTTAATCATTTACTAATTATAAAAAATATATCTGTAGCTTTTATTGTTATACTTTATTTACAATCTGTCGTACTAGGGCAATCACTAATTGTTTCGACTACAAACTATTACTAGGACATGCAGTAATTGTTTTGACTCAAAACTATTACTAGGGCATTCAGTAATTGTTTTTAATTATTTTGACTCAAAACAATTACTGATTGTCTAAGTATGACTGATTGTTAAGTATAACAAAAAAGCTCCAGTTATATTTTTTATAATTGGTAAATGATTAAATAATAAACCAAACTTGTATTATATAAACTAGTCAAAACGTTTATAAGGCTTTTTGAATGAATAGCAAGATAGCAACCCCGTAGTTTTACAATCTTATAGTGACTAATTAACTATACTATACATATATTTTGACATTCTATGATTTTATAGGCAGCTATACCCACGAGAGGCGATTTTCACTTGATATTTATAACCTCAAGATGTAAAATTGACATCAAAGCTGCCTGATGTCGGGCTTTTGTTGGCGGTGGCGGTAACCGAACCAGAAAACTCAGGACTGATTACGCCACCGCTGGATCCTAACTGGAGCCGATGGACAAATAATAAAATGTTAAATCTTGGGTGAGTCTAAGCAATTGATAAGTCTAAATAATGTATTAGAAGTGATAGATTATTATTATTTAAACTGTGTTGTTGCTTCTTATTTTATATGAACATTTTCATAATATTCACACAATTTTCGACTACTGTGTGAATAAAGGGAAAGGAAGGTAAAGAAAGGTAAATGGTTTATTTCGACTAAAATATTAAGATTTAAGAACAATTAAAATCCACGTTAATTCTTCATGTTACAAAATTAATTATCTTTGTTCTTTCCTGCTTTATATAACTATTAGCAAAGGAGGAACCCTTTCTTGTGAAACTTCTGTACACAAAAACTCCTGTGAAGTAATTTGCGTTAACATTTCACTTCGTATTTTATTGAATGCCCTTTCTTGCACTAAATAACCTTGTGGTCTATATTAGCCTTTTGGTGTGATGAAAGAGTTTCCGATACCAGAACCCCATGAGGTCGATCTGAAGTCTTGCATTATGCAGAGATGTCAATTTTCGCAATTTTCGCGATTTTGAATGTACATTGCGATGCGATAGGAAAGAAAAAATTGAATCGTGTAATACAATATTTGCTTTGGGATGTTATGATGTCAATTCGTGATTTAGAAGTAAAATTCGAAAATGTATGTAACTCGATATAATGAATAATGGAATCATAGATTTACATCCTTTTATGGTGGAATGGAGAATGGAATTCTTGCTTTGATGATTTATTATTATTTTCATTATTGCTATATGTTATATAAAATTTATATTGATTGACACACATTAACGCAACAATGCGTTAACAAAAGCTATGTTTTATATCATATTTTTTATAAATTTTTATCATATGTCAACGTACAAAATACCGAAAAAAAATTTACTTCGTATTTTGAAGATTTTTTTTCACTATTTTAAGTAATACATAATTAAGTGAATTTTATCCAAATTTTGAATTATCAATTTTTTGCAAGTACTTTTGACCATTGCTTTGGACCAATAGTTTTTTTAAATTACAGGTAGATAATTTTTTATTCCCCAATTTTTAATGTTTTTTAAAAAATTAAGTACATAATCTAATTTTTGTAATTTTTTTAACTTTGTCATCAATTACCTATTAATATCATTCTATACAAGAACTTTGTTTTTGACAGTATAAAGCCTATAGATGGAACTTATCTAGTTCCAAAACATCTATAAAAACACTTATTGTATTATTAACTTCCCGTAGGGTAAGTTATTGTAATGGGCCGAAAATCGGAAGAATCGGAGAGAACGTAGCATCCGATTTGAGTGATCTAAAAACATTCAATTAGTAATGATCGGGAGAAGTGGTTATTAGTTTTTTGCGAAGGCAGGCCCAGCCGTTTCGAAGATACGGAGCTAAATGTACAAAAAATAGCAATTTTTGAGAGAACTAAGCGTCCGATTTGATTGATTCAAAAAACTTTTTGCTTGTCTTAACAAAATAATAGATTTTGGGAAAAAAAATTTTGTTTAAACTTTTTTTTTTTTTTGTAATTTTTTGTATATCGAAAATAATTCAGATTTTATTTTTAATTCTGACTATAGTTCTAATATTCTTTACAAATAATTTCAACTTTGCAATTCAGTTTATATAATTTTATAAATATTAGACAATGTTACAATATTTATAATAATCTATTTGAAAACATTCAATATTCCTCGAACATTTTGTCACGGTACGGGAAGTTCCAGCAATTTGGCTTAAGGCACGATGCCACCCACCCCACTAGTTATTTTTTGCGATATAATGTTCGGAAAGGAAACATAAAAAATATATAGTTTATGACAATTACATGTAATCAATGCATAGTTATTGAAATTATAGATTAAAAATATATTTATAATTAAATTCTTATTGTTTACGATACTGACAGTGGAAGGTTTATCACGTCAAACCTTCTTGTTCATGTAAGTACATAAACCTAAATTCACTACATTAGTTCGCTCTTCTATGAATTATAAAATAGATATATTTTCGCGTTTTTTTAAATACCAAGAACATTGCACATTTTAAAAAAGTATAGCTATTTTCTCTAAAAAAAATATTTTACAAGCATATATAACAAAATAAGACTCAGTGGGATGTAAATGTATATATTAGCATCAATGGTTCATTTTCTGATTAATAAATAATTTCTGATATGATATATTGAAGTCAAATTATAGAAATATATTTGTTATAATTATATTTTAATAATATTTAAAATTAATTTATATTGAGTAGTTTTAAAACTCATCGTCATATATTTCGAATTGTTAATTAGTTTAATTTTTATTACTTAGCAAAGAATTCATTTATATTTAGTTAAGTTGGTGTTAGTACTTTAGGGAAATAACAAATTTTAGGTAAAATTTGTTACTGGCACCAGTTCAATAATTGTGGATGTTTCTATTAAATACGAAGAAAAAATATTTAATTTAAACTTTCCAAAGATTTTGTTCAAATTGGAAAACAAATTGAATCCATGGTTCAGGAGGGTAAGAATGCGCTAAACATGAAAGTTTCTGTTCCATATACCATGCGTACATGGAGCGGCAATATAATGATCTTCCTCACGCTCATGATAATATTTTATCACAATAAAAAATAATTAAAACTGAAAATTTATCATTTAGACTCACCAAAGCCGGTCAACACAATAATCCACGTAACTACCTCCATTTCTGTTTTTATCCAGAAGCACTATTTCACAAAAAAATTCGAAATGAAATCAAAGTTCCTCTCATGCTTTTTATATTTCATATACCGAACTCGTTATCACTTGCGATCGGATGAATAATTGTTACCGGAACACACATGGATGCATGGACGTCAGAGATTTGAAACTTTACCTATCCATAGCCCCCGTATCCCGACGTGATCTAGAGCGGTCGTGTCTTAGACAGTTACTTGTGAACGTATAATACGCGATGTCGTTATGGCATTAACAACTTGCATGTTCTTCGGAGGTCTCGAGAATGAAAGTGGCGACTGGACGCGCGGAACGATTGTCGTTTTCTTTCCACCGCCGAAGGCCGCGCTGGTCCGTCGAGTGCGCCGCTCTCCACTTGATCGTGTCGTACTTTACTTACGACGTGTTACCGAACAGGGATAGGTACAAAGTTGAATTTGATTAGATATTGTTGCATAACTGGATTAAGGGCAGCGTGGTGCAGGCAGGGTCCTTAATTAACTCACTATGCAGGCGTCAGAAGTAAGAGTAAGGATCAACTATTCCTTCATATAGGATGTCTCCTACATCCTACAAAGTTAAAATTGATTAGAGATCCTTGCATAACTATATTAACCCTTTGCGGTCGTTTGTCGTTTCTCTGCCACCAAAGCCTTTTTACCATTCCAGTCGTATGCTTGCCCTCAACCACTATGGCAAATTACTATACGAAACGGGTAGGGTAGGGCGGGGCTAGTTGAGCATAGGGGCAAGTTGAGTAATCGAAATATCTCTAAAACTATTCACCGTCCGTTTAGGCATTATATGGCGGAAAGATAGAGGTTTGGTAGAAATAAATACCCCGCAATCGCTAGTGGCCGCTGGACAAATGAGTGAGGCTCACGGCCGTTTTGTTTATTTTGAGACCAAAAAGTAAAAAAGTCATTCATCACGAATTTTCGTCTAGTTTAGTCAAATGTTATTTATTTTTAAGCAGGTAAATTTTATTCTTCCATATAATTATAGTACTTTTAATATGCACAGAGATTCTGGGTATAATTATCACGGTTTTTTTATAAACTCACTTTTATTTTGAAATTCCGAGTTGGGGCTAGTTGAGCATAGTTGCTAAACTTGTTCTGTCACTAAGACAATTACCATTAACTTCCAGAAATTAATTATTATTTTTAAGATTTAAGCTAAGTCTATGAGTAATGATATAAAGAAATAATGATTTTAAACAAAAATATTGAATATAATGGTAAAATAATTCCTAAGATAATTAATCGTTAATTATTCAAAGCAAATTACTATAAGTTTTGTTTCCTCTGTCAATAAAGACTATAAATATAGAACTGGTTATTAAAAACTTATTTTATTTCATCACTAATTGACATTGAACCTATAATTTCATTATACTTTCTTAGTGCTCAACTTGCCCCACCTATGGGGTACATTGAGCATACTTGACTTTTTGCATTCAAACAGCTGTAGCTTTTAAATTTTACTTATTACCAAAAACAAGTATTAACACTTTTGTTATGCGATAAACAACAAATCCAATAAGCCGTATAGCAATTTATTGAGACTTTTCATTGAGGAGCTACATCCGTTTAAGTAAAAATTTGCTCAACTAGCCCCGCCCTACCCTACTGTATGCATTCATACAGCATGCAGTAATCATAAAACAAACCCAATAATATACCCAAACATCACTAGATAAATATATCTTAAGTTCAGATAACAATTATTAAATCTTGTTTGAACGTACTAGACTTGTTTGCTCTATCGACGAAAAATTCGAGTTCCGAGTAGAACGATACCCATATTCTAAATTTGAAGATGCAAAGGATTAAGTATGAAATTCGACAGCAAAGGGTTAACGGGAACATGAAACTGGGTCTTCGGTGGTTCACAATGGTCAATGGTGAATGGTGAAAGTTCCGTATCAATACACAAGAGTAAAGATAAACACTTCCTTTAAATGGGATATTTACTTGATTGAGTTATTAAACAGGAATAAATACAAAGTTGAAATGGATTAGATATTGTTGCATAACTTCATCAAAGGCAGCATGGTACAGGGTATACAATTTAGAATGCTGTCGTTAGAAAGTTCAGCAACAAAGATATGGACATTTCTTTCATATAGGATGCCCAGTTGTTTATCCCGTTATCAAATTGGAATCAAATTCAAAGTTGCAATGGATTAGGTATTGTTGCATAACTGGATTAAGGGCAGCGTGGTGCAGGCAGGGTCCTTAATTAACTCACTATGCAATCGTCAGAAAGGAAAGATGAACATTTCCTTCGTTTAGGATGTCCACTTGATTATCATGTC